ACAGTCTGAAAACATTCATGATATCGGAAAAATACGCACTTTTTTTTGTTTTTAAAAGACTGAAGAAACGACAAAATTTATTATATTTTCGTTTTTTTTGTCATTTTTTGCTCTTTTATACCTGATTTTAGTGAAAGCGTGCATACTTGAAGAGCAGACAAGGAATATGGAAAATAATTCAGACGTAATAGAATGCATTTTTTGTATACATTTTTTTAGATACGCAATATAGATATCAATTTTTTTCTGTTAATGGTCATCTTAGATAAAGAAACTTCTTCAAAAATAAACATTATTTAATTTATCATTTTTATCATCTGAAAATTTTTAGATTGTATTTATATTACAACTCAGCCAAATATATCTCAAATAATCAGATAGCTTCTTCATCTCCCAACGAATGACGTAAAAAACAAAAAACATGTGTAAGTTTGTCATTCCTGTAATATATATTGTCGAAATTTTAATAAATAACAAAACCAAAAATATTATAGTTACATAAACGCATAATGAAATAAGATACACAACATGAATATTAAATTTGAAGACGAACTTGTTCTTACAATTGTACTAGTTTCAAAGTCACTAAATTTGATTGTTGTGATTTTTGATGTTTTTCCAAATTCGAATGCTTTTCTGGTGAACGAGTGTTTCAATTACAATGAATGAACTTGTCCATCTATAAGAATATTGTCATAAATTGTTATTGCTTGCAGTGATGCTCAAGCTAAAACATAGACTGATGTTGAATTGGATTTAAACGAAAAATAAGCCAATGACGTTCAACACAAGCAAAACTTCCAAGAAGAAGATTTCTAATATTAATATTATAGATATAATCACTATCGGTTGAATGATAGATCAAAAATTACTGAAGAGAACAAATGATTAACCATTGTAAACGTTATTATTTATTTTCAATCTTTTTCTTAATTTAGAACTGAAATGGATTTAGTATAAAGACTCTTTTTGTTCAGCGAATGAACTTTAAGGGTAAGTTGTAAGAAATCATTCATCAGTAATTTAAAAAAAGTATTTCTTTAATAGCATTAAAGAGAATTAAAATACATTTCTATTGATTCATTTTTTTTTCTTTTAAAACAATATTTAGCATTTACATAATTAAGTTTTCTAAGTTGGATCAAACTAGCGCATTGTAATAAAATTTACGAAATCACAAAAAGATAAACACGTTTAATCATGAAACTGGGTAGACTGTTTTATATTCTAATTAAGTCATATAGACATCTCTAGGATTACAATTTAAAAGATCGAAAACAAAAATAATAAGTAAATCTATTTATTGAACAATAATATACAAAAAACAAATCGTGTCACAAAAGTACTATTATGCCATTCGACAACGTATATTTCTGACATTTATTACTCTCATTGAAGAATTGTTAAGATTTTCAGTAATTTATTTGACTTTCTTGACTAACGCTAATTGAATGCATATTATCAAAACAGCAATACACCCATGGCTATCGAATCAAGAAAGTATTTCCTCTGTTTCAAGCGCTTTTCTAATATCAAATTTCGTTTTTTGTATTCTTCAGTATAGTTATATCGAAGCTATTTGCACTTAGGGGAATACATTTAATCATAATTATATATGTTAGTGTGCTTTTAAATGTCAAAACATTAAGACTATATATTATTTAATTACTACGATTTTAGTTAATGATAATCATCGTCTAATTGTCGACAATGACTAGATTCTATCATCATCTCCTCAACATAAATATCCAGTAGTCATTCGGAAATTTATTCTATTAATAGTAATAAGTACGAAATTCTTGAGAACTATTAGCTCATAAGAATGAGTTTTAATTTCTGATGACTTGCAACTCTTATAAGATATATACAGTTTTGTTTATAGGCAGTATTTTTAACATCTTTAAGTTCTTATGTATACGATAAGGAGATAACTATTTGTGCCATAAATACATCGTACTTTATACTGTGTTACGTACAGTTGACATAGATGAATTTTTGTTTATAGATCTCACTATAATAGTATGAAGAAATATCTGATGTGTTTTCTCATTTCTTCTAAATCGATGACATACTAATTGGATAATGTCACTTGTTGTAAATAAACGACATATTTTATACAAATTTTAGCTGATAAAAAATACAAGTAACGTTCATCGAAACTCGATTCACTGGGCCCTAGACTGTATTTAGATACGAATGAGAGTTGATTAATATTAGTTTTCACGTTCGGCATTATATTAAATCAAGCATTTTCTAAAACTTCATATCTGACGATTGAATATTAAAGTCCATTTTATAAAAAGTAGAGTTTTGAACTCTTTTATCTATATGCACTATAGGAAGATTATTAAATTGACAAACTTATTAAAACTGTTTTGTAATGATGCAAAAACTAAAATTTTAAACTTATCAGATTACAATGCATATGTTTTTAAGCCTTTAATCTTGGGTTTTATTTTATTGGGTCGTCGTACAAGACGCTCCGGCATATCATCGTTTTTTTTCAAACATGCATTAAAAATATTTATCAATGATAATGAACGACATGCTATATAAAAATAGGCGAACATTTTTTTCAAAGCTTTATAATACTCTATGTATATGGACGTTCCGTTCTTTTTTTATTAATATTACTTTCATCCTCCTCCATATTAAAAGTAAAAATAGCGCAGCCTCATTATTTTAATTTATTTAGTAGAATAATGATCTATATATAATTATGAAATATTTCAAATATTTAACTTAACGCCCTTTTGTTTACAATTAAATAGAATAATATGTATTAAATATTATGTTATTCAAATAAAACGATAATAGCCAATAAAAATTATGTTATCAAAAATAAACCATAGTTACATGATTATTTGCACCAAAAAAGAGTGGTCAGATGTGCTATGCTACCGACAAAAATAATACATATGAATAGATCTATTTCCCATTTCTAGACCCTATCCTTATAGTCTGGGGAATATGTATTTTCTACTGTTGATTCAATTGTCTGCTATGCAACTAGATTCAAATCAAAAGAATACATTAAGCAATTCATTATGGTAAATCGTGGGCGTTATCTTTTAAAACTATAACTTATACTGTTATATTTATGAGAATATTTAGTTATACGTTGCTATGATAATTATATTTTTGTTAGAGGCGTTATATTTCCTCTAACAGAATTCAACAGCATAGTGACATTGACGAGTGCAAATCTTTAATATAATAACATTCAGACAGGTACAATGATGAATATAGATAGAATAAATAATATTATTGAAAATATTTTTGACACTAAGAAGGATTATAATCAGCTGATAACATAAGCTACGTGAATGAGAAATAGTTGACGTATGTTTTATCTGATGCGTAAAAAAGCATCAATAGAATTAAGACGATAGAATTTTATTATGACGTTTATCAGCACAGATCACAATATAATTACTCAAAGATAATATATTGTTATTCTCTTATTGCTGAATAATTATTTTATTTTCATGTTGCTCGTCATTGTTAAGATCTAAGAAATACTAAAAAACACTCATGTTAAATGAGACTCATTTAAACGTATTATAAGCATATGAAAATTTATCAAAACTAACTTTTGTCGTAAATAGCATGTGAAATGTAGTCAGAGTTTCATTCGTAATGAATAATAGTCATATGCAATTTCATTTACTTATCAAACTGAAAAATAATAATCAAAATTCTGAACAATTATGAGAGATAAGTCGAGAGTAGCTAATTGAAAAAAGATATATAAATCATACAATCCAATAGAACTTCTAATCAAGATAAAATGTAAACTATGTCAACTAAACTAATTCATAATTCCAAATGAATGATAAGACACTGCGTTTTGTAAATATGACCTCGATTAAACTACATACGTAAATGTTCCTGTAATGAACAAGAAAGCATCTTATTAATAATTTTAGCAGGCATACGAAGTGCGTCATTCAGTATTAATTTCTGTTATTAATGAATGTCATAGCTTCGAGTTACGAAAACAAAAATTGTATATGTCAGTTTCACAAGAGCAAACTTGCACCGGTTTAATTACAAAATGAAAGAGGATCAGTTCATGGCATATGTCAAACCCACACCTTGTGAAATCTAATATACTATTGAGTTGTTTGATACAATACTTCTTGTGAACAAATTCGGATAGTTTTTCTTACTTTACATTGTCGTTCATAATATAAATAGTTAAAAAATATGCGTCTATTCTCTGTAATCTTTAATAGAAAAACAAGTGTAGTGCATTCTCTTTTTTTCATAAAATTAATCCAGTAGAGTTCTAGTGAAAAGAAAAAGCTAATTCTCTTTCTACTTATTATAATAAAAAAGAAAATGTTCTGAATGTAACATCTTCACTCATTACATAAAACTATTTGCGAAGAACGAGACGATGTCATCCAACAATAGCACAAGCAGTTCATCAGCAATTCTTCAACTTCAAAACGGTTTTTTTTATTCCAGTCTTATCTTAGGATTTATTCTATTCATTGGTGGTATATTAGGTAATATTCTTAACATCATAGTCTTCGTTAAAGTTGGAAATTACAAGAATAATGCATGTTCACTTTACATGTTTGTTCGTACTTTTCTTGATCTCTACATTCTTCTTGCTGGTATGACTACTCGAATTCTTACTACAGGTTTCCAAATAGACTTTACTTTGATGAATAGAATTTGGTGTAAAGCGCGCGCAGGTTTTATCGATATTATTAATGAAAGTACATATACTTTGATTTGCTTACAAGCTATTGATGCTTTCATGTGTTCTTCTCCATCAGCTGTTGTCCGACAAAAGAGTAATATTCGAATAGCACGATATTTAGTCATTGGTACTCTTTGTTTTTGGTCTATTCATGAGATACCATACTTCATCCTTCAAGATCTTGTTATTGTAGGAGGCACTTCCATGTGCATCGGAACAAATACAATATTTGCTCAGTATCGTAGTTATTTTGTCTATCTCGGTATTTTCACCACTATTCCAATCACAGTGATCTCTACTTTTGGCTTTCTCACTGTCCAACATATGAAAACTATCGCTGTAACGAGAACACTTTCTTCTCTAACAAGACAAACAATTAGCATGGCATTATTTCAAATATTTGCTGTATTACTGTTCAATGGTCCATATACAGCCTGGTCAATTTACTCAATTATTACAGCAAATGTAGTTAAAGATACATATAGACGAACAGTGGAACAGTTAATTACTTCATTTGCTGTTACTTATGCTTATGGCCCATATGCAGTAAGTTGTCTTTTTCTTTCTTCCAAAATAATTATTTAATTTTCTCTTTATTTTAGAGTTCATTTTATTGCTATTGCTTATCTAAGAGATTTCGGAAGCAGTTGGTCGTTTCTCTCAAAGAACTCGTTTGTGGTATACATGCGAACCAAGTATTTCCAAATACTCAAAAAAGTGGCACTCGTACCTAACGATAGACATAAATTGACAATTAAATATATTTGTTGTTCGTGTATCATTTGTTTTGTTCTAGTTTTTTGCTACTGTTGTCTGGTCGTTAGAAATTTTAAAATATTTAAGAAAATTAGATATGCAATGATTTAAAAATGATTTTGATAAGTGAGAATATTGCATTTACTTGAAAGACTGAGGAGTTCAGTCGCATGTGCTAGAAACTGATACCTTTATTACAATCACTCCACTTGCGTTTACAATTAAGAATGAGACTATTCTTAAAGAGCAAACGAAGATCGTCTGCTTTAGGATTAGCAATAGCGTCAATTGCAGTACCTGAATCACAATCTACCAAGATCAGAATCAAACGACTGCCTATCAAGTTATTGGTACAAGCCGATAGTGAAAGTAAGATTTAAGTTTCATGTATTGCTAGCTAAAATGATATATCCAAATATAGTCAATCTTCTACAAAAACTTCATCAACAATATGATTATTTTTTAGTTCAATCTGTAGAGAAGCTTTGTCGTTATCTTCATCATGTAGATTATTCTTATAAATCCACTATTAACGTAAAAACTCTTTTACGAAGAGAGTTGAATTAACATTGGTACTAAAATAACATGAATGTGGATGGATTCTGATGAAAAGAGGAGATTACAAAAAAAAAACAAAGAAGAAGGTAAATTTTTCGGTTTAACATTGTAATCAAAAAGTAGATATGTCATTTTAGGTAGTAGAATTGTAATATTAGGAATAATGGATAATACTAGTATTGATTTACCAAATACCAACATATTTCCTTGTTCAAAAGATCGTTCAGTAAATGCTAAATACTCTCTTCAATAACTAGAAAAGGCAGCATTTCGAATTGGCAATGATATAGACTACGGTTTCTTTTATGAGACTTATTGTTATAATATCTCAAACTCTTTTGAATTATCAGATCAAAGAATAGTTAAATAAGCGTAGTATGCATTTTGATTCATTATCATGATTAAAATCCTAGCGTTTGAAACCAGCATTAGTGAATCGTTCCGATATAATATATAAAATATTTCAGTTTGATATTACTGTTATTTAAAATAGATAAATGAGATACCTATAGAATATGATATGAACACTGTTGCTGAAATGCATTCGAGTATTGTTGGACAAATTCAAAAAGTACGTCTGTAACAACAATACTCACTTTCAATTGTATGATGTTCATGAACTTGCTGCATAATTTTTAGCTAGCTATGATGGCGATGCAGCAACTAAAATGATCAAGTGTACATAAGAGGTTGAAAAGAAAGTTAAATTTATTGATTGATACATGGAAGAAGAGAGATAGAATCAATGCTTTACATACTGATGAGGAATAGAACATTAGTTTCTAACAATGATATATTTTTTTAAAAATTGATCAAACTTATTTACATTATCGATTGATATAATCGGCGCACAAATATCATAGTTCTCGTTTTAATACGAATAACAACATCTTGCCTATCTACTATGTTCCAGATTATGTAATACATATTGCAGAGTTATGGAAACCAGTACTCATACCGAAGAGATGATCAAAATGAAAAAGGTAAGACAAAACACAGAGCATAGTTTGAATAGAATTCGAAAAAAAAATTTTTAAAGACTATAAACTACGTGCTTATTTATATCTCTTGGTAGAAACTTGTTTGTGATCGATTAGTATTACGACAAGGAAACATAATCATCCAAGCCATATTTACAAATGTAGCTTTGAGATTCTTCTATCCAATCCGTATGACAAGTAAATAATTCATTTGAACTATGCAGTATTATTGCACCTTTCGTGGAAACATTCTCAGAGATATTTGGTTAAACAATAATTCGATCAAACATGATATTGTCTCGGAGCATATTTCAAGTCCCCCGCTTTCGCTTACTGAAAACCACAGATCGTCAGCTATTGCTATTCTCTTTTTAATTCTGACTCCGATAAAAAATCAAAATACGCATATCTAAATGTTCATATAATGAACGATAAAAGCATCTTATTAATAATCTTACCAGATATACAAAATACGTCATTCATTATTAATTTCTGCTATTAATTCATGTCATCGCTTCGAGTTAGGAAACAGAAAGGATATAAATGAGTTTGACTAAAGAAAAATCTAAGCTGACTTAATTAAAAAATGAAAGAAGATCACGTTTGGATACCTATCAACATTACCAGTCGTTAAATGTAATATTCTCTTCAGTCCTTTAATGCAATACGCTTTTTGAGCAGATTCTCATAAATTTTGTTATTCTATAATTTCATTTCTAATCAACTTAATCAAAAAACGAGTGTAATTTATTCTCTTTTTTTCATAAAAATAATCCAGTGGACTGCTGCTGCAAAGAAAAAGCTAGTTTTCTTCGTACGTCATGATATTCTATATCCAGTGGCTGTAATAAAAAAGAAAATATTCTGAAACGAACATCTTCAGTCATTATATAAAAATATTTGTGAGGAACGTTACGATGTCATCCAACAATAATACTAGCATTACATTAGCAATCCTTCAACTTCAAAGTGGTTTTTATTATTCAAGTCTTATTTTAGGATTTATTCTATTGATCGGTGGTGTATTAGGAAATATTCTTAATATAATCATCTTCATTAAATTTGGAAATTACAAGAACAATGCATGTTCTCTTTACATGTTTGTTCGTACTTTTCTTGATCTCAACATGCTTCTTGCTGGTTTAGCTACTCGAATTCTTGCTACAGGCTTTCAAACGGATTTTACTTTGATGAATAGAATTTGGTGTAAAACTCGCTTAGGCTTCACCGATATTAATGGTATAACTACATATACTTTGATTTGCTTACAAGCTATTGATGCTTTCATTTGTTCTTCTCCATCGGTTGGTGTACGACAAAAGAGCAATATTCGAATAGCACGATATTTAATAATTGGCACTCTTTGCTTTTGCTTTATTCATGAAATACCCTATTTCATCTTTCAAGATCTTGTTAACGTAGGAGGCACTCCCATGTGCATCACAACAAATACAATTTATGCTCAGTATCGCAGCTATGTTGTTTCTCTTGGTATTATCACAACTATTCCAATCACAGTGATCTCTACTTTTGGCTTTCTCACTGTCCAACATATGAAAACTATCGCTGTAACGAGAACACTTTCTTCTCTAACAAGACAAACAATTAGCATGGCATTATTTCAAATAGTTGCTTTATTAGTATTCAATAGTCCATTTGCAACTTGGCAAATTTACTCAATTATTACAGCAAATGTAGTTAAAGATACTTATAGACGAGTAGTGGAACAGTTAATTACTTCATTTATTGCTACTTATGCTTATGGGCCATATGCAGTAAATTAACTTTTTCTTTCTTTCAAAACGGATATTTGTTATTCTCTTTTCTTTTAGAGTTCATTTTATTGTTATTGCTTATCTAAGAGATTTCGAAATCAGTTGATCGTTTCCCTCAAAGAACTGATTTGTGGTATACATCCGAATCAAGTATATCCAAATACTCAACGAACTGGCACTCGTACTTAAATATATTCGTTGTTCGTGTATCGTTTGTCTTGTTCTAATTGTTTCTTGGATTGTGTGTTTGTAAAAAGTTTTAAAATATCAATAAAAGTATATTGTAAAATAAAATATGTAATGGCTTAAAAATGACTGTAATAAATGAGAATATGGTATTCACTGGAAAGATCCGGAAATTGGGCCACATATTGTAGATACTTGTATTTTCACTATAGCGGTTGTGTGACATATTGAGTTACCATAATTCAATGGTTTATATCAATAGAACTCAATTAGTAAAAATTCTGTAATATTCAACGATGAGAATTATATTATATAACTTTTACAAATAAAAAATCTATTTGGTTAAACTTGTTGTAATAAAACCTGAAATTGGATTAAATGTTTATTTATCAGGTCAAGCAAACTATGAAAGTGTTTTGTTGAGTATTATGATTGCATAAACGGTGGAAACGATCTTTGGGAGTCGGTGTGGAGAAGGGTTTTGGTGAAACCATGAGCGGCTAGTTATTATATCACCCATACGCACACAGTTATTCTCACCCACTGATTTTCGAGATTTTTAAAGATTTTCAATTGTTTTAATCAGAAAATAATAGATTACAGTCTGATTTTTAGTCATTTTTCTGACATGATATATAGCCTCAATAACAGCAAACATTAATTGAAAAGTGGTATATTAATTATACAATTCAATAAAGCTTCTAACTAGAATAAAAATTTGAAATATCTTAACTCAATCAGTTCATAGTTCGAAACAAATGCTTAGATACTAAATTTTGTGACTACGTAAACTTCATTAAATTACATACGTAAATGTTCATACAATTAACAAGAAAGCATTTTATTAATAATTTTATCCAATATACAAAATGCATCATTCATTATTAATTTCTGTTATTAATTTATGTCGTCGCTTCGAGTTAAGAAACAAGAATGATATATGTATGAATTTGACCAGAGGAACACCTATGCTGATTTAATTAAAAAATGAAAGAAGATCATTTCATGACATATAGCAAAAGCACACCTTGTGAAATCTGATATGCTATTCAGTTGTTGGATACAATACGTCTTATGAGCAGACTCGGATAGTTTTTCTTGGTATATACAGTCATTTCTAGTTTAATTATTTAAAAAATATACTTCTATTCTTTGTGCTCTTTAATAGAAAAACGAGTGTAGTGAATTTTTTCTTCTCATGAATTAATCCAGTGGGCTTCTCGTCAAAAGAAAAATCTAATATTCTTCCTACGTCATACGTTTTTTTATCCATTGGTTATAATAAAAAAGAAAATATGCTGAAAGTAAAATCTTCACTCATTACATTAAAGTATTTACGAAGAACGAGACGATGTCATCCACTAATAACACAAGCATTTCATTAGCAATTATTCAACTTCAAAGTGGTTTTTATTATTCAAGCCTTATTTTAGGATTTATTCTATTCATCGGTGGTGTTTTAGGAAATATACTTAATATAATCATCTTCATTAAAGTTGGAAACTACAAGAACAATGCATGTTCACTTTACATGTTTGTTCGTACTTTTCTTGATCTCTACATTCTTTTTACTGGTCTGACTACTCGAATTCTTACCACAGGTTTCCAGATGGATTTTACTTTAATCAATCGAATTTGGTGTAAAACGCGTTCAGGGTTTCTCGATATTACTATTATATGTACATATACTTTGATTTGCTTACAAGCTATTGATGCTTGCATTTGTTCTTCTCCATCAGTTGTTGTTCGACAAAAGAGTAATATTCGAATAGCACGATATTTAATACTTGGTACTCTTTGTTTTTGCTTTATTCATGAAATACCCTACTTCATCTTTCAGGATCTCGTTATTATTGGAGGTACACCCATGTGCATTACAACAAATACAATTTATGCTCAGTATCACATCTATGTTGTCTCTCTTGGTATTGTTACTATTAGTCCAATCACAGTGATCTCTATTTTTGGCTTTCTCACTGTCCGACATATGAAAACTATCGCTGTAACGAGAACACTTTCTTCTTTTACAAGACAAACAATTAGTATGGTATTATTTCAAATATTTGCAGTATTGGTCTTCAATGGTCCATTTACAGCCTGGACAATTTACTCACTTAGTACAACAAATGCAGTTAAAGATACTTATAGACGAGTAGTGGAACAATTAATCACTTCATTTGCTGCTAATTATGCTTATGGCCCATATGCAGTAAATTAACTTTTCCTCATTTTAAAAACAAATATTTATTCTTCTCTTTTTTAGAGTTCATTTTATTGCTATTGTTTATCTAAGAGATTTCGAAATCAATTGCTCACATCTCTTAAAGAACTTGTTTGTGGTATACATACGAATCAAGTATTTCCAAATACTCAACGTAGTGGTACTCGTACTTAACTATAGACAAAAGTTGACAATTAAATATATTTGTTGTTCGTGTATTATTTGTCTTGTTGTAGTTTGTTCTTCTGTTGTGTGTTCGTAAAAAGTTTTAAAATATTAATAAAAGTATATTGAAATATTTTTTAGAAATAAAAACAAAAATTATTGAGAATATGAGGAGTATATCTCTGTAGAAAACTGTATATTTTAGAAGGAATAGTAGTGAAATTATGTTTGAAGAAGTATATAACGATAACAAGACACTCATCTTTTTACTATTTATATAACTTACTTAAATAATTTTACATCAATATAAAAAATGAAAAAATCAATAAAACTTTTAAACTGGAAGTGAAAAGAAGCACCGATATTTTATTGCCATTCGACCGAAATTAACAGTCATACTCTACTGTTCTTAATAATGCTAGTGAAGCCGCATGATTTTGTCAGATAAAACTTTAATCCTCTTCTTGTTGAGTTCTTACCCATATAACTCTACATTTCAAAATGCACTGACACTGAGCTGGATTTTATCACACTGTAGTAAACTTTACAACAGTCGATTTTCATCTTACAAAGATAGAATGAAAATGATCAAATCATTCAATTTCCAATTTATCATAGAAAAAAAAGAAGATAAATCGTAATATCCCATCTGACTCAAATGGCATTAGTACAATCAATGTTGAAAATATTATTTTAGCTGCATATGATGCTATTGAACTTAATGGTTTAAGCTCAAAGACGCATGCTGATATTAGATCGAACATAAATTGAAATGACTATTTCTTGACTGATTTTCATCTATTATTTAACTGTGAATGTCAATATGAATCTGATTTTGAAGATGAAATAAAAGAGAGTAATGGAGTTTATGATATTTTAATAACATCAGATTCTGATGAATTAAAAATCGACAGACTGACTTTTCGTGGTTTATTTATGTTTGATAAAATTAATTCAATGTTAAAGAATTCATGTGTCCAGATACATATCAATCTTAAAGTTAAATATACCGAGAAATACATCTGTTACTAGATGTTGATAGATAATAAGGTTACCTGCCTATCGGCGAATAGATTTTTACGAATTATAAAAGCAACCAAGAAAGAGTGATATTTTTCATAAAAATGTAATGTTGAATTCAGTGAATATTAGACGATAAAAATAAAAAAAACTATCATCCATGTTTAACTAATATTTCATTGCTTATTATGGTGCTTTCTTAATTTTAATCCAGTTTACACCTTTCTCTCAGTAGATCGACAAAAGAATGAACTTTCATTTATTTCTAATAGAATAATATCTGTAGAAAAGCAACATTTTCTTTGACTTTCTCGTGATATACACGCATCACAGAAATTCTAAAAGGCTTCAAGCTACTTCAGAAGACTTTATACATGAAATCTGTGTTCTTTCTCCCTTGTTACAAATCAATAACGTATTTGATACGAACTCTAGCTAATGAAAAATATATCTATTTTGTATTGTTAGTTCAAATTGAAATATATTCAGAAGTTCATAAGTGTAAGTGATAGGTGTTATCTTTTAAAACTATAACTTATACTGTTATATTTATGAGAATATTTAGTTATACGTTGTTATAATAATTATATTTTTGTTAGAGGCGTTGTTTCTTCTAACGGAATTCAACAGCATAGTGACATTGATGAGTGCAAATCTTTAACATAATAACGTTCATACAGGTACAATGATGAATATAGATAGAATAAATAATATTATTGAAAGTACTTTTGACATTAAGAAGGATTATAATCAGCTGATAACATAAGCTATGTGAACGATAAGTAGTTGACGTATGTTTTATCCTATGCATGAAAAAGCATCAATAGAATGAAGGCGATAGAATTTTATTATGACATTTATCAACACAGATCACAATATAATTACTCAAAGATAACATATTGTTATTCTCTTATTGCTAAATAATTATTTTATTTTCATATTGATAACAAAAAAGAGAAAAACAAACTCCTTAAATATTGATCTTCATTGTTAAGGTCTAACAGATACTAAAAAACATTCAAGTAAAATGAGACTCATTTGAGCACATGATAAGCATATCCAAATTTATCAAAACTAACTTTTGTCGTAGATAGTATGTAAAATGTAGTAAGAGTTTCATTCATAATAAATAATGGTAATATGCAATTTCATTTACTTATCAAACTGAGAAATAATAATCAAAATTATAAACAATTAAGAAAGGTAAATCATGAGTAGTTAATTGAACAACATAAACAGAAACAAACATTGATTGACAATGATATATAAATCATACAATTTAATAGAACTTCTAACCAAGATAATAATGCGAATTATGTCAACAAAACTAATTCATAATTTAAAACGAATGATAAAACACTGAATTTTGTAAATATGACCTCGATTAAACTACATACGTAAATGTTCCTATAATTAACAAGAAAACATTTTATTAATAATTTTAGCAGGCATACAAAAGGCATCATTCATTATTAATTCCTATTATTAATGGATGTCATCGCTTCAAGTTACGAGAACAAAAATGATATATGTCAGTTTCATAAGAGCAAAAATTGCACTGGTTTAATTACAAAATGAAAGCGGATCAGTTCATGGCACATATAAAAAGTACATCTTGTGAAATCTATTACGCTATTGCATTGTTTGATACAATACTTCTTGTAAGCAGACTCGAATAGTTTTTCTTACTTTACACTGTCATTCATACTATAAATATTTAAAAATATACTTCTATTCTCTGTAATCTTTAATAGAAAAACGAGTGTAATTCATTCCTTTTTTTTTATAAAATTAATCCACTGGATCTCTAGTGAAAAGAAAAAGCTTATTCTCTTCCTACGTCATACGTTTTCTTTCCCACAGAATATAATAAAAAGAAGATGTTCTGAATGTAACATCTTCACTCATTAGATAAAATTACTTGTGAAGAACGTTACGATGTCATCCAACAATAACACAAGCATTACATTAGCGATTCTTCAACTTCAAAGCGCTTTTCGATATCCAAGTCTTATTTTAGGGTTTACTCTATTGATCGGTGGTGTATTAGGCAATATTCTTAATATAATCATCTTTATTAAAGTGGGAAATTACAAAAATAATGCATGTTCACTTTACATGTTCATTCGAGCTTTTATTGATCTCTACATTCTTCTTGCTGGTTTAGCTACTCGAATGCTTGCTACAGGTTTCCAGATGGATTTTACTTTAATGAATAGAATCTGGTGTAAAACTCGCGTGGGTTTTCTCGATATTAATAGCCAAAGTACATTTACTTTGATTTGCTTACAAGCTATTGATGCTTTCATGTGTTCTTCTCCATCAGCTCTTGTACGACAAAAGAGTAACATTCAAACAGCACGATATTTAGTCATTGGTACTCTTTGTTTTTGGTGTATTCATGAGATACCCTTCTTCATCTTTCAAGATCTTGTTATCGTAGGAGGTACCCCCATGTGCATTGGAACAAATGCAATATTTGCTCAGTATCGCAGCTATTTTGTCGCTCTTTGTGTTGTCACTATTATACCTATCATAGTGATCTCTATTTTTGGATTCCTCACTGTCCGACATATGAAAACTATCAGTGTGACAAGAACACTTTCTTCTCTAACAAGACAAACAATTAGCATGGCATTATTTCAAATAGTTGCTGTATTAGTATTTAATGGACCAAATGCAGCTTCGATAATTTATTCAGTGGCTACAGCAAATGTAGCTAAAGATAGTTATAGACGAGCAGTGGAACAGCCAATTTCTTTATTAATTGCCACTTATTCTTATGGCCCATTTGCAGTAAGTTGTCTTTTTCTAACTTTTAAAACAAATATTTATTCTCCTCCTTTTTTTAGAGTTCATTTTATTGTTACTGTTTATCAAAACGATTTCGATTTCAATCGGTCGTATCTCTGAAAGAACTGGTTTGTGGTATACATACGAACCAAGTATTTCCAAGTACACAAAGAAGTGGTACTCGTACTCAACTACCAGCATACGTTAACAATTAAATATATTTGTTGTTCGTGTATTATTTGTCTTGTTGTAATTTGTTTTTCTGTTGTGTGTTCGTAAAAAGTTTTAAAACATCAATAAAAGTATGTTAAAATAAAATATATTATAGTTTAAAAATAACTGTGATCAATGAGAATATTGTATTCACTGGAAAGATCGGAAAATTCAGTCACATATTTTAGATACTTGTATTTTTATCACAGAGGGTGTATGATATATCGAGTTCGGGTTATTGATTTGGAAAAGAAATTTAAAATATACCTTATTATTATAATTGAATCATTAAAAGATCAGGAGTATTGAAGTATGGAAAATATATTATATTACTGTTATTAATACAAAAATCTATTCGGTTAAATTGTTTGTAATCGATGGATGTGGATGAAGGGGACTAGTTAATATATCATGCACACTTATATATGGATCCTCATCCACTCAGTCCTCACTTACACCCTCATCTAGCGATTTTTT